AAAAAAATAAATGGTTATCTTTTGCTAACTAAATAATATCCTACCCTTCAAAAACAGTTTAGTTTTAGGGACTCAGAATCATGAACCACACAGTTTGCAGAGAGATCTGATTTTTACATGTTTTTTTGTGTGTGTAGCTTTAAGTACTTTAAGTCAATTAAACCTACTAATGTTGCATACTTTTTCTTTTATGAAAGGGAAAAAGGGAGCATAAAGGAGGCAATCACTGATTCATTGTAAACGTTTTTATCCAGACGATCATTCTCAGGTCATGTATGATCGTCTTTTCAATTACAATCTTTGCCTATCGCCATCCTTTTTTCAATTACATCTCTGCTTATTGCCATCCTTGCTCTTTATTTTCATAAATTATTAGGACAGCCAACACTTCAGCTAAGGTGTAAAAACCCACACAGTTCCTGTGTATGTTTTCTTCCCTCCTTTTCCTTTTCAAATCTACCTTGATCATTTATTTTAATTTTTATTTATTTATTTTTAGAAACAAGGTCTTGCTCTGTCACCCAGGCTTAGAGTGCAGTGGTGTGATCACAGCTCACTGCAGCCTCCACCTCCCAGGCTCCAGTGATCCTCCTGTCTTGGCACCATAAGTAGCTGGGACTACAGGCAAACACTATTACATCTGGTTATTTAAAAAAAGAGAGAGAGAGAGACAGGGTCTCTCTATGTTGTTCAGGCTGGTCTTGAACTCTTCAACTAAAGTGATCCTCCCACTGGCCTCCCAAAGTGCTGGGATTACAGACATGAGCCATCACACATGGCCCTCTACCACTTTAAATCTCTTTAATTCTAGATCATGCTCATGTGAGTGTTTTTCTATGGTCTACACATTGCAAAGGATGAGTCAACAACACAGAAAATAAATGTGTATCATGTTGGATTAATCTAAGAACTAAGTATTTTTTATTAGCAAAGAAGGAAAATGCTAGAAGTGTTGGGGAGGCAGGCACAATTTCAGAAAGGAGGACCTTTATGGCAACAAGGTGTTCTTTAAGAACTGAAGAAACCCAGGGCATAGGTGATGCAGAGATCTGGGTGAAAACCTTTTCAATGAGTGCGAAGGCCCTGCAGCAGGTGGGTGGGTGCAGGTATGTGCCAAACACAGAGGTGCCAGTTTGGCAGTGAGTTGTGAGCCAGAGGAGGGAAGAGCTCACCAGGGATAGTGCCTGTGGGTCTTACAGGCCATTGCAAAGGTCACTGGTCTTTGTGCCAAGCGAGCCGGAAAGGTTTCCAAGCTGGAGAGACATCCTATGGATGGTTTCCAAGAAGAGGAAGGACATCCTCTGATGCACAGTATGGTTCTGGTTAGTGTGATAAGATATAGTGAAAGGGTGTGAGGGCCAAGAAAGGGAGACTAAGCTAGAGGCTGACGTACTTATCTAGGTGAGAAAGGATGCGGGTTCCAGCTGGGGTGGTAGTCATGGGAAAGGCGAGAAGGGGCCGGTGCAAAAGCACAAGCTCAGATTTGGACATGTTGATTTGAGAGGTCCTTTCTTCCAAGCAGGTCTATAAATAAGCAAACAAGATACATTTGTTTGGGGTTCAGTGGAGAGCTGGGATATGATACGTATTACTTAGTCTTTCTCACAAATTTAATTTCAGTGTCAACTGGATATAAGAGAAAAGAAAGGAACTTTACATATTAAATTAATTTTAAACATTTTCATTGTTTTTCTGTAAACCAGAAGTGATTTTTGGATGGTGTAAGGCTTACTAGAATGTTGCCACATAACTCCACTTAAATCTCATTAATGTGGAGGCTGACATTTTTAAAACTTGTGAATGAGCAGAGGTTGATCTGAAGTTTGCATTTGGTTTACATGGGAACAACAGATTTGCAATTAAATAAATTCTATACACCAGACAATAAAGGAACTATTAAGTCTGTTACAGAAAACTACCTTTTTATCCTCTTGGAAGATACTTAAAAACTATGTCCCACATTCACCTAAAGGATACTTGCTTTAAATATTCTAATAGGTCTAAATATTCTAATTACTTTATCATTAGTGAATTGTAGCTACATTATGCATTATACTTACTTGATATAGCTACTTGTGTGTAAAAAATTATGCAACTGACATTTTTTCAGTAAAGTAGCCCACTTTCGGTCATAATTAGTGACGTTTTACTGTGTTACATCTCATTTTGCCTTAACTGAAAACTATGCAACTTAGGTACAAAAAAGAAAAGTTATGAAGACCGAAAACCTAAATACAAATTTCACATGATTCAGAACCAAGCTATGTAAACATACAAAAACTCTACAACATGGGAGGGTGAAGGAAATGAAAACATTTGCAAAGGTATTTATTGAGAAATAGTAAAGATATACATATTTTTACAAGCTTTTAATATTAATTTACATTTCTTTAAATTATGTAGGCCCCGATAATCTACACTTTACTAATATATAACAGAAACCCTTGACATTTCGAGCTGTCCATAATGCTACTGTAGTTGGGAGTCAAAATGCAACTTTGGCTCATGATGCTTAAGTTTGTTTTAGAAAGAAATACTAAATGCCATATTCACCGAGAACGCAGGCCTGTCATAAACAAATGTGCTTTAAAAAACAGCTTCATACAGGAGCATGCTGTTGACGCTATTCTGAATCTTAGCTCATCACAGACTAAGGAGAAAACATTTTTAGAGACAGTTATTACCTACTTTTTGTGTGCAAACTGTATGATTCTAAAACATGTTTTTGTCTCTGAATTTGATTTACACATTTTTGCAGGGGCATAGTGTCCTAATTGTATGCTATAATTCTGTAGCCAGGCCACCTATTTTGCTACTGAAATCACGTGGTTTTGATATTTTTAAGGTGCAACACAAGGTGGTTATCATTTCTAGTAATATACCAAGCTTGTATACATAACAGCCAAAAACCCACTTTAGTTACAGAACATTTTTTCAAACTGGTTTACAATAAGGCACAATATTCCGTATGTAAATAGGAGGTGGGAACTGCCAAGGGGTTGTTTTTGTGTTTGCTAGTTCAGTTTTCGTTTTTCAGATTAGAAAGGAAGGGGATTTTCTGTTCCTAAGGTGGGAAGGGAAGAGTTCTAGTTTGCGTATGCTCAAAGTCCCGTGGCCAAGCTGTGATGCTGGCTACTGGGCCTGCAGCACTTTTGTGCCAGGCAAGTTGTTCTCCGTCAATCTAGCATTTATGTTTTATGCTGTCAGCCTCTTCTGAACACAGAATCAGAAAAAAA